CAGGGCGGTAATTGGATATATCAAAGAGAAGGGAGATAAGAAATAGCAGGCAGAACTCAGAATGCATTTCCATAGTATTTTGTTTAATAATACTGTGCGTGAACTCAAGTCTTTTCTTACTCATAGTAAAACATAGCAGATATACTTTAATAGGTAATTTTAAAACTGGGATTATTTTCATACTGTGATAGACAAGTAAAAAATGTGCATTTCATTGACAACAATTAGCTGTAAACCCTGTTCTATTGGACACGTAATCTTGAAGAAATCATTTTTCTCTTCATGAAATATCATTCCATTATTTGTCTAATTATTTACGAAGTATGTGAAATAATTACTTACAGTAATCCATCAATTAAATTCAGACTGAAATTTCTTGCTTTTTAAATGATAGTTACTTGAAACATAAGAAAGTTATATGTATGGTTCAGTAGTTTTACACTGACTTTGGAGGATAACTACGGAGCATATGCTAAAAGTCTTTTTGTTTTGTTTTGGTTTTCCTCTTTAGGCCATACTTGGTGCTGCTCGGAGATTCCTCTTGGTTCTGAGCTTAGTGGCCACTCCTTGGGGAGCTTGGGGGAACATATGGGGATCAGGGGATTGAACCCAGGTTGGCCACTTGCAAGAAGTTGAGGAAGCTCACATAAGTTTTGAGTAGTTGACACCTGAAAATCTCTAATTTATAACAAGGTTCTTCTTTATTAAAAAGAAGAGTCTGGTATGGTTAAATCAGTTGGTTAAAATGAAAGTTGTTTTTACCGTATAAAATAATGGGCACATGCTAGCAAATGTAATGAGATTATGAGATATACCACACTGGCCTGTTTTTCTGATTGTTAAGACAGAAAGAATTAAATGATCTGTGCTTTAAGGGCAGCAAGCACTACTGTGGTTCTTACACTACTGAGTGGGCTTCAAGTCAATACTTGTTAGATCATTGATTTTCTAAAGGCCTTTTCATCTTATTTTAAAGTCTGCTTCAACCACACATATTTGGCAAAAAAACAAAATTTTGAAATAAAAATATCTTTGGGATTCTGGATATTGCTTGCTCTTATAATGTTCACTCTTTTAATAGTCTCTTCATTCTGTCGTATGACATTGAAGTCAGTGAGGTGAAGAGATTTTTTTCACCCGTAAGACTTTCTCTTTCCTTTGACAATATTATGTGAATACCAGGGCTGTTTGTCATTCAAATCTTAGAGTGAAATCACGTACTTTATACCTTTTTTATGCCTATAGTTGGGTCTGCAGATTTCAACTCACTATTGCCAAGTTTTGGTGCTATGCATTTATATTACAAAGATTTTATAACAATTTAAAGGATATTTTGTAAAAATATTTTGTAAAAAATCTTATTTTTTGTACGTTCTGATTATTTGTCATCTTACAATTATGGGTGCCAGGTTCCCCCCCCCCCATCCCTGATTTTCTCTTACCATTGAAAATATTTTGTGAGCACCAGAGCTATTTCTGTACAGCTTAGTCTTTACCAGCCAATTCTGAATTCTAGGTTCCAGAACAAGAGAATGCAACTTCCCAGTGTTGATAGAATATGTAAATTGATGAGGAAGTATTCTACAGGGTTTTAAAAGATACAGTTGCAGATTTTAACCTTTTCTTTGATATCATTTGAAGAAACACATTGATTTTTTTTTAAACCTTGTGAACAAAATAACTCTGCTATTATTTTCATGTAGCACTGTCCTCCCCTTGTTCATAGATTTGCTCAACAGGGCACCAGTAAAGTCTCCACTGTGAGACTTGTTACTGTTTTTGGCATATTGAATACATCACAGGGAGTTTGCCAGGCTTTGCCTTGCAGGCGAGATACTCTTGGTAGCTTGAAGGGCTCTCCAAGAGGGGCTGAGGAATTGAACTTGGGTCAGCCGGATCGGCCACTAGCAAGGCAAACTCCCCACCTGCTGTGCTATTGCTCCAGCCCATTATTTTCATAGATTTCAAAAATTTGGTTTCAAAACATTAGTTGTTTTTTGTTTGTTTGTTTTGTTTTGTTTTTGGATCACCGACCCAGCGATGCTTGGCAGTTACTCTTAGCTCTACACTCAGGAATCACTTCTAATGATGCTCAGGATCACATTGGGTGCTTTGGATTGAACTCAGGTCAGCAGTGTGCAGGACAAGCACCTTACTACACTATTTCTTCAGCTCCAGAGGTTTTTTTTTTTTAAATTGTTGTTGTTTTCAGTATGCATTGGACAACGATTGCCCTAGAAAAATCAGGCTAAATAGTGGGCAAAATACATGAGGAAAATACAAGAACTATCACTAAGATATCCTTAACTATAATTTTTGGGGGTTTGTGGTGGGGGGCATGCACATCAGCTGTGCCTAGGAATTGCTTCTGGTTCTGCACTCTGGAATAACTTGGCAGAGGTGAGAACCATATGGTACCGGCGTTCAAATCTCCTTCAGCCATGTGCAAGCCAAGCACCCTACCCAATGCACTATCGCTCTGGCCTTAAATAATTTTCTAGTGCAGTAGTTTTGGTCAGTAAAGTGCCTTGATGAGTTGAGGCTTGGAAAATAGGACAGTGAAAATGATTTAAAACATATTGTTGGGCTGGAGAGATAGCACAGCGGGTAGGGTGTTTGCCTTGCACAGGGCCGACCCGGGTTCGATTCCCAGCATCCCATATGGTCTCCTGAGCACCGCCAGGAGTAATTCCTGAGTGCAGAGCCAGGAGTAACCCCTGTGCATCGCCGGGTGTGACCCAAAAAGCAAAAAAAAAAAAAAAGAAAAAAGAAGAGTGTTGTTCAGGGACCCATGGGTTCAGTTGTGGCACTGCATATGGTGTCCCTATATCCTTCCAAGAGTAACCTCTGAGCACAAAGCCAGGAATAAGTCCTGAGTACTGTCAGGTTGTAGCCCCCTCAAACCAAATATAAATAAAAAACAAATTAATAAAGAAAAAGAAGTGGTTAAAGCACCATTTTTGCTTTCCTTTCCTGATTTTTGCTTTCTCGGGGCTTTCTTTTTCTGAACTCTTAGCTCTTTGTTCTGCATTACATCATAGACTTTATCTTTTCAAAGGACCTGTCCCTTGTGCCAGGTAGACTCATTACTCATACAAATCTAGGTTATATTTTTCGAGGAAAATTAATTACTTTATACCAGCTACATATGGTTAGCTTGTCAGCAGGAAAGCTTTAACATATTTTGGTTGGTATAATATAGGCATTAAGCAATCTTTTCTTGTTGTGCATAAGTAGCACATTAATACATGTTAAAATTGATACACTTTGTAATGCTAATGGTTTTCATGAGGGACTGTAGAATTTCTTACCATGTTTATTCCATGTTTATTAAAACATGATTTTATAATCATAAGTAAGACTAATAAGACAGAATTTTTTTTTAACTATATTGAGTTCTTAAAATGTTGGCACAACCATAAACATACAGTCTATCAAGTGGCTGGGTAGAAGACTAGATGTAAATGTTATTTGCTGTGGAGCTTTAATCACTGGAAGATTTGGTCCATCTGAAGTTCTTTCAAATAAAGGCTAATTATCACTGCTTTTGTTAAGGCTGTAAATTGTGTTGCGTTGTGAAGTCATTAAGGCAGTTTCTCTAATTACCTTATTGGATTGAACAAGTCCAGACTCTCTCATTTTATTTAAAATAGCAATCATATTAGGAGAATATATATTTTTAATCTCTTGAACATTCATGATTTTGTTGTATTTTCCTTGTCACAAGCATTTTATAGCTTTTCAATGTTGTTTTTAAGGCTTGTTCATATGCAGCAGTCCCTAGGGCTATTCCTGGAACTGATCAGGAATGGCTATTGGGAGGGAGGAACCATTTCTGATGCCAGGGACTGAACTAAGGTCAGCTGTATGTAAGGCAAGCGTTTTTTTTTACCCACTGTGTTATACTGTCTCTCCATCCCTTGGTGCTGTTCACTACACGATGAATAATCTAACTGTTGCATACTTTGGGCAATCTTATTCCCTTATCCTGTTCTGTCAACACTTTTTCTCTGATCTTGCTTCAAACTACTTTTGCTATTCAAAATAGTTTTTAAAGTTCAGCAATTCTGCAACTACTGCCCCAGGAATGTGTTTTAAGTCACAAATGCCCGATCAAATTGGCCACAGAAATCATGTTATCACTTAATTATGATATTTCTCTAGCATTCTGGTTAGCTGTTCTTTTCTCACTTGTGTTGATGAAAGATGAGAGAATTGTAAGGCAAACACTTGCTACACCTCCAGCTCTTAGTTCTTTTTGACTTTCAAACTTCGCATTCTGGAGAGGGAAACCCAGAATCCTAAACAGGCTTACCGTGACATAAAGTAGGTTGGAGGCTCTACACCACTTCTATCAGTAGCTTCACTTGAGTTTCCTAACTCGAACTCTGCTAATTTAGTATCGTGTCAGGAGTCATCCTACATTGCAGCGTTTCTGAAGAAAGTCAATTTAGTACAAATTGGGAGACCTATTTACTCTCTCTCTATCTAACACATACTGTTCATCAGCAAGGTTCCTAAGGACAACAACCGGTATTTGAAGAAAACAATCCCTTTTCTAACTTCTGAATGTGATTCCAGCATGAACCAACACACTTTCATTCGAAACAAAATTTTCAAGAAATTCTATGAGTACTTCATAATTTACTGCTGTCTTTTGAAAATTCAACTTTTACATAAAGATATCTGTATTTTATTATTATAATCATATATTATCCTTAGGTAAAGTTTTCTTTTCATTGAGAATATACATATGCATATATATGTGTGTGGGTATGTGTGTATCTATCTATATATATATATGTATGTTACTTTGAGGTATGACTGAATTTCTCACAAATACAAGCAGAGCTTTCCTCTCCTTCTGCTATCAGTTTTAGGGAACATATTGCTTCTTCAGTACTGTCATGCCAATAAATCATCCCAGATTACTAGCAGTCATACAGGACTAAAGTATACCATGCATTTTCAAGGAAATCTGCTATTTTCTTTTCAATCAGATGAGCAATGTGAAGAGACTGCGGCCACGGCTCAGTGCGATTCTCTTTAAGCTGCAGTTTGAAGAGCAGGTGAACAACATCAAACCTGACATCATGGCTGTCAGTGCTGCCTGCGAAGAGATAAAGAAGAGCAAAAGCTTTAGCAAGTTGCTGGAACTTGTATTGCTAATGGGAAACTACATGAACGCTGGCTCCCGGAATGCACAAACCTTCGGATTTAACCTTAGCTCTCTCTGTAAAGTGAGTTTGTTTTCTTAAAACACGTACATGCCTGAACATTTTTTCCTAAATGTCAGCTCTGATTCCATTATTTAAATATTTTTATTTTGACGGGCTCATTATCAAGAATTTGAACTGAACCATGAACCCAAACCCAGAGTGTACAGAACTAATTTACTCAACCTCTGAACTAAATCCAAATATTAATTTTCTCTGATCGGTAAATTCAAGTGAAGGACTTTTGCTTAATAGCAAAATTATGTCATAAAACTATGCTTTCTCAAACTAATGAAATAGAAAATCAAAATATTATTTAAACCTCATTCAGTTCAGGTACTAGTATATGTTGGTTCTTATGCTCAGTATTGCTTCTAAGAGTTTTTTCTTTACAATTCTTAAATATTTCTTTGTACTTTTTTTTTTTAATTTTTATTAGTGAAACACCATGAGGTACAGTTGTCGACTAACAAATTTTTGTGCTTGGATTTCGGTCATACCATGATCAAATACCCATCCCTCCACCAGTGCCCATTTTCCACCACCAAGGATAATATCCCTCCCCCCCCCCCCATTCCCCCCATCCCCCCCTGACACTGTGGCAGGGCATTTCCTTTTGTTTTCTCTCTCCTTTTGAGTGTTCTGATCAGCAAAAGAGGCACTGAGTGGCAAACATGTTCAGTCCAGTCTACTTTCAACCTGCATCTCCCCTCCTGGGAGGATCCTCCAAACACCCTCCATTTGGTGCTCCCTTCTCTATCTGAACTGTCCTTTCCCCCAGAATACCCGGCTGGCCTCTTAGCTATGGAGTAATCTTCCTGGTGTTGATCTCAGCTATTCTTGGGTATTAATCTCATATTTTGTTACTTTATATCCCCCAGATGAATGCAATCTTTCTATGTCTATCCCTCTCTTTCTGACTCATTTCGCTTAGCATGATACTTTCCATATTGTACCACTTGTATGTAAAGTTCATGACTTCATCTTTTCTAACAGCTACATAGTACTCCATTGTGTAGATATACCAAACTTTCTTTAACCAGTCATCTGTTCTTGGGCACTCAGGTTTCTTCCAGTTTCTGGCTACTGTAAAGAGTGCTGCAATGAATAAACAAGTGCAAATGTCACTTCAACTACACATTTTTGCCTCTCTGGGATATATTTCCAGGAGTGGTATCGCTGGGTCAAATGGGAGCTCAATTTCTAATTTTTTGAGGAACGTCCATACTGTTTTCCAAAAGGGCTGAACCAGTCGGCATTCGCACCAACAGTGAAGGAGTGTCCCTTTCTCGCCACATCCGCGCCAGCATCAGTTGCTTTTGTTCTTTTGAATGTGGGCCAGTCTCTGAGGTGTGAGATGGTATCTCATTGTGGTTTTGATCTGCATCTCCCTGATGATTAATGATGTAGAGCATTTTCTCATGTGCTTTTTTGCCATTCGGATTTCTTCTTTGAGAAAGTCTCTGTTCATTTCCTTGCCCCATTTTTGGATGGGGTTGGATGTTTTCTTCTTGTGGAGTTCAACCAGTATTTTGTATATCCTTGATATCAACCCCTTGTCAGATGTGTATTCGGCAAATATCCTTTCCCATTCTGTAGACTGTCTTTGTATTTTGGTCACTGTTTCTTTGGAGGTGCAGAAGCTTCTTAGTTTAAGATAGTCCCATTTATCTATCTCTGTTTTCACTTGCTCGGCCAGTGGCGTGGCATCTTTGAAAATACCATTAGCCTCAATGTCATGGAGGGTTTTGCCAACTTTGTCTTCAATGTACCTTATGGTTTCTGGTCTGATGTTGAGGTCTTTAATCCATTTTGATCTTACGTTTGTACATGGTGTTAGGCAGAGTTCTGAGCCCATTTTTTTGCATGTAGCCGTCCAGTGATGCCAGCACAATTTGTTAAAGAGGCTTTCCTTACTCCACTTCACATTTCTTGCACCTTTGTCAAAGATTAGATGATCATATGATTGAGGGGAGATGTCCGTGTATTCAACTCTGTTCCATTGGTCTGCAGTTCTGCCTTTGTTCCAGTACCATGCTGTTTTGATTATTACCACTTTGTAGTAAAGTTTGAGGTTAGGGAGGTTGATTCCTCCCATTTTCTTTTTCCCAAGAATTGCTTTAGCTATTCGTGGGGGCTTATTATTCCATATAAATTTCAGGAGTGTTTGCTGCATTTCTTTGAAGAATGTCATGGGTATCCTTATAGGGATTGCATTGAATTTATACAATGCTTTCGGTAGTATTGCCATTTTGACAATGTTAAGTCTCCCGACCCATGAGCAGGGGATATCTTTCCATTTCCTCATGTCCTCTTTTATTTCCTGAAGTAGCGTTTTATAGTTTTCTTTGTACAGGTCCTTTGCTTCCTTAGTTAAGTTGATTCCTAGGTACTTGATTTTCTGGGGCACAATTGTGAACGGGATTGATTTTTTCATGTAACTTTCCTCTCTCTCACTGTTTGCGTATAGGAAAGCCATGGACTTTTGGGTATTGATTTTATAGCCTGCAACTTTACTATACGAGTCTATTGTTTCTAGGAGTTTTTTGGTGGAGGTTATTGGGTTCTCTAAGTAGAGTATCATATCATCTGCGAATAGTGAGAGCTTGATTTCTTCCTTTCCTATCTGAATGCCCTTAATATCTTTTTCTTGCCTAATTACTATTGCAAGTACTTCCAGTACTATATTGAACAGCAGTGGAGAGAGTGGGCATCCTTGTCTTGTCCCTGATCTTAGAGGGAAGGCTCTCAGTTTTCCCCATTGCGGATGATGCTTGCTGTAGGCTTGTGGTAGATGGCTTTAACTATGTTGAGGAAAGTCCCCTCTATACCCGTTTTGGCTAGGGTTTTCATCATAAAGGGGTGATGGCTCTTGTCAAATGCTTTCTCTGTATCTATTGATATGATCATATGCTTTTTATCTTTTCTTTTGTTGATATGGTGGATTATGTTGATTGATTTCCGAATGTTAAACCATCCTTGCATCCCTGGGATGAATCCTACTTGGTCATGGTGTATGATCTTTTTGATGAGTAGTTGGATTCTATTTGCTAGTAGTTTGTTGAGGATCTTTGCATCTGTGTTCATCAGGGATATCGGCCTGTAATTCTCTTTCTTTGTGGTATCTCTGTCTGCTTTTGGTATCAGTGTGATATTTGCTTCATAGAAACTGTTCGGAAGTGCTTTTGATATTTCAATTTTGTGGAAAAGATTAAAGAGCATTGGGAGTAAGTCCTCTTTAAAGATTTGGAAGAATTCACTAGTGAATCCATCCGGGCCCGGACTTTTGTTCTTGGGGAGACTTTTTATTACCATTTCAATTTCCTTGATGGTGATAGGTCTGTTCAGGTATTCCAGGTCTTCTTGGTTCAGCCTTGGGAGTCTGTAGGAGTCTAGAAATTTATCCATTTCCTCGAGGTTTTGATGTTCCGTGGCATAAAGCTTCTCAAAGTATTCCCTGAGTATCCTTTGAATTTCTGTAGTTTCTGTTGTAATGACCCCCTTTTCATTTCTGATTCGGTTTATTAGGGTTTTCTCTCTCCCTTTCTTTGTTAGTTTTGCTAGGGGCTTATCGATCTTGTTAATTTTCTCGAAGAACCAGGTAGTGACTGAAAGTAGAATGAAAGGGAAGGGAAAGGAGGAAGGAATATAAAGGGAATGGTCTGAACAAGGTGAGTTTTAAACTTGATGACTGAAGACATGGAGAGAAACAAGTAAAGCAGCAGGATAAGGAGCAAGATTAAGTCCACACCTAAGCGTCTGTTGCTTAAAAGATTTTACATTTCTGGACTCGAGCCAATGACCAAAATATGCTTTTATGACTTCCCTCATGCTGTGCTCAAAGAGCTTTTGATGGGTGGTTAGTTCCTAATGATGATGTGTAATAAGTAGCCTGATGTATTTTGCACACAGCAATAATAAATACCTGCAAATCAACGGTTGTGCAATAGACACAACGTTGTATATGTTCATTATTTTGTAAAAATTAGACATCCTTTCTTATTGAGATAACTTCACTGGTCCACTGTAATTTTTAAATCATTAACAAATTCAATGCTTGCTGTGATTATTTTACTGCTAGTGAACCTGTAAACCGGCTAATCTGCCTCCAGATAATGGAGTTAACTTTATTTTCAGGCAACAATGTCAGATATTTTGATTATTCCTTTTAGAAGCCGTCTGTTGTACAAAAACAAAATAAGTATTACAGTTTTCTATTTATTATTAGCCTTCGTGTCAACTTGAAAGCATGTATTGAACAAGATGATATCTCATCATGTTTATCAGAAGTAGCAGCTTGATCTTTGACAATTGCGATTGAATTTTCACACTGAGTATAAAGCATTTGGTTTGATGATAAGCCCCTACACAAGGAATTCCATATGTATTTGACAGTAGAAAGACAGAGTACTATTTTAAGCTGTTACAACATGCTGGGTAATTGCATGCATTTTAACATTCTATACCAAAAATCTTTTAAATGCCCCTTTACAAATTTAGCATAAGTATGAAAAGTGACTGGAAAATCAAATTAAATTATTAACTTTACATTGTTTTGAAATGCATGATTTGTGAGTTCTGTATATGAAGTAGTTTCAGAGATCCATCTTTATGTGTCAGAGTTGATCTATCTTTAATAACTGAGTTCAGAGAAGCAAGGTCTTCTTTTGTCTCCCAAATTATTGGAATGGCGGGTGATTAATGTAAAACTTAAATTATAGACACAGGGCAAGCAAAAACTAGAATCTATTAGTTCGAAATAAATTTTAAAAAGTGAGAGTATAAGTATCATGCTATGTGAAATGAGTCAGAATGAGAGGGACACGCATAAAATGACTACACTCACTAGTGGAATATTCAAAAAAAAGCATAATATGAGACTGACACGAGAGCACACATAAGGGCCTGGAATATTACTCCATAATTGGAAACCTGTCCCATGAGCTGGGGGAGAAGGCAGCTGGAATAGAGAAGGGGTCACTAAGTCATGATGGTTAGAGGGATCATTCGGGATGGGAGATGTG